ATTATATTGTTATTGTTGTTGTTGTTGTTGTTGTTGCTGCTGCTGTTGTTGTTATCGATTGATTGCTTTTAGGCACCATTGAAAATTTATTAAAAAAAGTGTACTGATGGAATGAATAACAACAATACCGGTTATCTCATATGTTTTTGATAACTCGCTATCTTGAGGAGAATCGGTGTTATCCAGCTGTCCGTCGTATGTTCCTAGAGGCACCGCCTCGTAGTGCGGATGCAGTTTCTTCTTCAGTACCCGTTTCAGGTAAGAAAGATGAAGCTCTATACCATACAGGTCCACCTCTATGTGGTCTAAAGAAATTCGGCACACATCATTAGGAACCTTAACAGAGGGTATAGATTGATGAACACACACACGTGATTACTTACATATTTACATGTCATGACCGATTACTAAATTAATTTATTGATTTAAGGTATGTTAGTCTGGCTGGTCTGATGACAGATCTATCGATCTGTTAGGCGTTCTGCTAATATATTTGCGAAATGCATATTTGACAATGAATTAATGTGGAAATTATTGAAATACCTGCAGGAGGGTTGTTATTATTCGGATATCCGTAGCCTCCATTCGGATTGCAGACATCGGTACCTTCAGCAAGCAACGGGAATAATGCGTTACCATACATAACGCCAGCACGATAATAGTTACTGGCTAATCATTAAACGAAATTTAGGAGATAAAACGCTTCTAGATGTACAACGCTTTGGGAACACGACCTACGGTGGGGATTAACAATGCCATTGGGTTTTATTTCAACCTACGCCGATTACCATATACGTTTCTCCATCCGCACAGTAGGCCTATATACATATACCGGCAAGGTCCGGCATAATATACGCGATGTAGTAGTATTTCTTAAAAGCGCCGTATCCATCGACGCTTCGAAGCTAGCATTAGTGTAACTCAGTGTGATACTTCACATGTGTGTTTAAAAGTTGCCGTTGGGCACGTGAGTTGCCCAGTGGGGGTTCAAATAATGTATGTCAGCACGCAGCTGGGTACGAAACTGGGTTTTGAGATCTGAAACTGGGTTTTGAGCGTAGAAACTAAGTTTCTAGCTCTGAAACCTAGTTTCTTGACTGGAAACTTAGATTCTAGCCACAAACACCCACCTGCCAAAAAAGGTCCCTGCGAGGAATCTTGGTGTCTCGAATTATGATACAAATGGCGCGGTTGAAAGTGGGTTTCTTGCTGAAATCTAGGTTCTTGCTCCCAAAACCTAGTTTCTTGCTCAAGAAACTAAGATTCCAGCGATAACTGCGGTTATAGGGCTAGAAACCAGGTTTCATGCTTGAGCAAGAAACTAGGTTTTGTGAGCACGAAACATGGTTTCGTGCGAAGAAACTTGGTTTCTCGAATTATGATACAAAATACTATATACGGTGTTAGTAAGACTGGCATACTAACGACGAAACGCGCCTTGCATGGCTGTTATCGCTATCCGTTTTACGTTAACTCCGCAGTTGTGCACGTTATTGCGTAATTCTCTCGCGCTTCTGTGTTTACGGACACTGACGCCGGCTGGCTTCGGGTAATTCCTTAAGATTCAACGTGTGGCAGACATGGGGACGTCTGAAATCATTCTAGCGTAACTACGGATCTCTGCACTATTATTGGAGCACAGGCGTTTGGACCGATTAAATTACAAAATAATAGTAAATTAAACAAACACGAAATATAGTTACTAGCAAACATTCAACTGTTATATACTCTTCATTGCCTAAAAATACCCCAAATAAATGGCCTCCATATACTCCTCTACCGCACACAATCTCGCTGTCCACATGACAGTGTTGCACGAGTTGTAAATTTGTGTGCAGTGTTGTATGTACGAAAAGAAACTGCCCATGTGCCTGTGATCCTGAGCATAGACAGCAACACTTACCAAATATGGGCAGACGTTTTCCGTCACCTGTTAGCGCCCGGTACACTCGTCGCTTGATCTGCGTGTGGACGTCAATATCTGCAAGCAGTTGACACACACACCTATATATACATATATATATATATATATATATATATATATATATATATATATATATACTAGCTATTACCCGTCCTCCAGACGGGTTTGAGTGGGGTCTGATTTGAGGATGGCGGTTTAACCATTTATCTCTCACTTTTATTTGAGGATGTATTAATTTTACAGTAAACGAAAGACACTGATATTTAGACTCGAGTCATATATCAATATTTGTTTCAAAAAAGTTGTATCTAAATAATAAAATCTGACATTTTACCTTAAAATGACATGTAATTTAAAAAAAAAGGGAAATGGGGTGATTTCATAGTACAATTTCACTTATTTAGATATTATTTTTGAAAATATTTTTTTGGTTAGAAGCATCAATAATAAGTGAAATTCTTAAAAAAAAAATATATTGAGTAGTTTTGAAGATATATTTTCTTGAAAGTCAGAGGACGGCGGCGGGCACGGTTACACCTCCCGTTGTCAAATATTTGCACACACGCGCGCACACACACATCACACACACGCGCGGCCGCACGCACACACCGCATTCAAACACATACGGGCATGCGCACGCACAATCACACGCGCACCCACGCACACACATACCATATTTACACACAGACGGGCGCGCACACGCACACGCACACACGCACACGCACACACGCACACACGCGCACACACGCGCGCACACACACACGCGCGCGCGCACACACACACACACACACACACACACATACACACACACATACATACACATACACATACACACACATACAACTGCAGCCGTCTCTAGTTGGGGTTTGTCTTAAATTTTCGCCTCACAGCTGTGTACGGCAGTGATTGGCTGTTTATATACACCGCAGCCGCAATGGCTTTGGTGTGTGCGTGTGTGCGCGTGCCGGTGGGCGTGCGTGCGTGCCGTACGTGCGTTTAATGTGGCTTGCTATGCTAGGTGAAGGCCCCACATAATTAAATGCTTATTATTATGCCTTTAATTTATATTTAGTATAGCTATATTATCATTAAAACCCGTGAGAAAACACATTAATACTTTAACACAATTTCAAAAGGTTATAGCATGTATAGTGTGGTATGTGTGTGCTCTAACGAACGAAACAATCGAAACAATTGTGACAATCGAAACGGCGTCTAAAAATGTGAGAGCATTGGGAGCCGGGTAAGCGCGGGCACGGTTACACCTCCCGTTGTCAAATATATTTGCACACACACCACACACACTCGCGCACGCACGCACACACCGTATTCACACACATACGGGCATGCGCACGCACAATCACACGCACACCCACGCACACACACACACACACACACACACACACACACACACA